CTCGAAGCGCTTTGCCGTGAATCGAACGCACGTATCTCGATTGGTTGCTGCTTTCGAGGGGATTGCTGTAACCGCTGAGCTACAGGACTCCACATGGCAGTTTTTGTAGGGCGAAATCGCTGATCTGTGCCTCTGTGGGGCTCAGTGCACAGTAGTATCCCGCGGAGTCTGTAACTCTCACTTGGATTATATTTAATGGGACGGTTCTCTCCACTTTAGACACATTTGTTGAGAAACGTTCTTTTGCGAAGTCGGCGTGGTCCGGGAACTTGTTGCTGGTGTCTGTTCTAAGGATATATTCTGGAGATTTGTTGGAATAGTGCCGATACCAGAACAGATAGGGATTGCCGCTGCCGCTTGTAGCTGTGTAATTACACTGCAGAGAAACATCATCGCCTTCATTCACTGTCAAAGTAGATTGCAGCTGTGTCACAGAATCTCCTCCACAATGTCCTGGGAAACAGACAAACATCAGTATTCAACTGCAGTAATAATAAAAATAATAATTGGATTTGTTATAGCCGCTAATCACATGCTTGAGACGTCTGCAGATGCTTCGCAGAATATACTTTTGCTTTGTAGTTTGTGGGCGATATTTGGCAGTTAATTACGCAAAACATTCTCTCACAAACAGTAATGGAATAAATTTCAGTATTCTTACTGTTATTATAAGTATAATTTTTCCTAAATGGTTATTTGCAATTCAAAATATGATCCAACAATCGGTTTATAAACGGTTACCTACTGATTGCCAGGTAAAAAGATGTGCGTATTTGGGTGTAAGGAAAAATGCTTAAGGTTTCGCCTTGACTCGCCCGGGAATCGGACCCAGGTCCTCTCACTTGCGAGGCAAGTTCGCGATACGCTGAGCTAGAGGTCTCCATGAGGCATGTAGCGTATCGGTTATTTTATAGAATAAACTGATGAACATAGGAATTACGAGCAGGAATATGCCATTCGGTCCCTCGAGTCTGCATCGCCATTCAATAAGATCACGGCTGATCTTCTAACCTTACTCCATCTGCACGCGTTATACCCATAACCCTTAAACCCTCTATCCTTTAGAAATCTACCTTTCTCAGTCTTGAATCTGTACACGGACTGAGCATCTACAGCCTTCTGCGGTAGAGAATTTCATAAAATCCATAAATAAAATATAAGCATTTGATAATATGTACAGGAACTAGACAGATGGAGTGAGTTTATCGCTTACCTGATAGGGTAACGATCACTGCTATCACATAGATGTACATTGTCATATGTATTTAATGTCACGGGGCGTTGAGAGAACGTTAATGGTGTAGTTGGAATGTTGGCTCGGAGGCTGTAAGACACCGTGTGGACGACTGAACAGGAAATAACCTACGTAAGTTACTCTGTACTGTGAGGGAGCACGTCTGAGGGTTATGTCCAAACCTTGTGTCTGTGTCAGTATACGTCATATTCTCGGCTCTGCCATATCGCTTCTCCATTGGTTCTCTCCAATCACTGATATGTCTATGTTCAATCGGGACTGAAACCTGCAACAAATTACACCCATTTTTATGTTCATCAAAAGCTCATGCATGAGATGAGCATATGTGTGCCATCTTTGGAGTTCTGTAGCTTACTGCTTAAAGTCCTCGCCACACAAGCGAGAGATGTCGGTTCGATTCCCAACATTTCAACTGTTGGCCAAGTTACCTTACTCCACACGCACAGCTCTGTTTAGTTAGCAGTCAGCAGGAACCTGGTAGTTAGTCGATTGCTGGTTTACCTTCTGTTTATAAGTATCCCGTTTCGCCTTCGAAATGCACAGTCACTATACTTTACAGTTTTTTCTGTGAAGCGCATTGAAACATCTCAGGCGAAATTATTCGCTCTATTCAATGTCAATTTTATTGTAATATAGATAATCAAAAGAAGGCAGGACGGGGTATTCAGTGGAAGCCACTGAGTGTGTGCAGATTGCAAGACCATGACCTAATGTGTGTTGGCTTCACATCCCCGGGGGCAGCTGTCAATTTGGTAACGAAGTGAAAGGAGGGATTGAGAAGGTTCAAAGCGAAAGGGTAGGAGCCACGTTACGTCAGCAGTTTCTCAGCTTTCTCACCCCCAATTATTTGAGAGTTTTCTTCTTGCCACTCTCCGCTCAAGGCTACTGGGTTACGGCAGTTTGGGGACAAAACACAAGTTTCTTAGCACAATTCAATTCTACAAGTTACTGCGTTGTACGATTTATTTCGCTGTATAATTCTTCATATGTTCACATTTATTTTTCTTAACCGGTGTGTGCCACATGTGGGGACACCCATCAACATTCTTTTGAATAACCAAACCAACCTGTGTATTATAATAATTGCATTTGAGTTTCATATCAAGCCTTATCAATTAACGAGGATTCCATGAGGTCTTCAGAAGTTTATCGCCAGTGTATTTTGTGGACAACAACTGGCAGCTAAGTGCACACAGCAGCGTCTCGCAAACGGTCTTTGATCGAGTGTTTCACTTTTTTGATCGATTAAAATAGACATCCAAACTTCTGTCAACCTGGTTGCTATTTCCTGCTCAGTAAACCAACAAAAATAATAATAAACCTTGCATTTGATACGTCTTCGAGATATTACACAGCATTTCGTAGGTTGTATTGTGAAGTGAATTGATTACGTCTGATATGGGAAAAATGCGGCAGCCGATTGCACACAGCCATGTCCCACTAAATGTTGTGGAATTAAGTAAATTTTTCTTTTCTTTTTAAAATAATTATTACCCCCGGAAAAGCGATTTACCAATCAAGTAACAGTCAGGTTCCTACACACTGCAAGGTAAAGAGACGCCTGTGAAGTAGGAAAACGTGCACAACATTTTGCAAGGACGGAAACCGATCCCAGGCCCTCACGCTTGCGAGGCGAGTGAGCTAAACATTGAGCTATAGTAAACCCAACATGTTTTTGTCCAGGTCCCTCATAGACACACATCACTGTGCTCTCCGCACAGAAGTAAATGGCGGTGTCTGATATTCGCACATCTTCGATTGTAAGCGTACAGTTTTTCTGTTTTCTCTCAGCCAAAGCTCTTATCCTGTCCTTCAAATTTACGTCGCTTTTTCCCAAAACCAAAATCGAATGGAGCCTTTTCCATGTTGTTTGTACCACTGGAAGAAAGGGTTGTTCACAGTGGTAATGCATTCCATAGAAACATTTCCATTTTCATTCACTGTCACGGCTTGAGGTGTCTGTGAGACATCGCTTTCAGCCAAATCACCTGGAAAATAATAATAAAAATTCTTGGATAGAAATTCAGAAGTTATCTACCAACGTTAATTTGGAATTATTTAGCAGGAAAACAACTGAGCCTTTGTCAGAACTCGCACGGTACTTACACAGTAGAAATAATATCAGCTTCAAAATAATATATTTTGCTTTGTAAGTCTGCTTCATTCTTAATTGTCTTCGATTCACGTCAATATGTTCGGTTGAAATGAAACGACAAATTATCAAAATGTAGCGTCTGGTTGATAAACATTTATCCAGTGGAAGAGTTGTCTCTTATCCCCGCCTCATTGTCTTGTCTCTGTTCATTGCTGGAGGTGTATTACGACTCCTCCTACCGTTTATGTTCAGATTCCCTTCCCCTCGCTGTCGCAAACTATAGTAAAGGGTGAAAGAGGCAGTGCAGACAGACCTAGTTACAAAGACTCAAGGAAATATAAAATTATAATAATAATAATTCTTGCATTTGATGTAGCGCTATCAGCTCTTGGATGCGTTTCGAAATGTTTTACAGAATATAAAATAAATTTTAGAGTGAAGCTGGGCAGGCAGTTGCGTACAGCAGTGCATCGCAAACAGTCATTGAATAAATTACCAATTTATCACTTTTTTACGGTATTATTGCCCCGGCAATCTGTCCGCTATTCGACGAATAACCGGGTTCCTATTTACTGTTCGGTTAAACAGAATCGTGTGGAGTAAGGAAATTTGCACAACGTTTCGCAATGATGAGAAGCGTAACCTTGTATTCTGGTCGCGAGTCGAGTGTTCTAACCACCAACTTGTAGGAGCAACATGTACTTTGGCAAAGTGCCAAGATTTTGATAATTGGTAGACTATAGGAATAGTGTACGAAGAATCTTGTGATTAAGCGAATGAACTCAAAAGTTTCTCTGGATTCCGTAGAAAACAGGTTTAGAATACTTTCGGATATAAGGAAGAGGTTTTCCAGTAATAGTGGGAGCAGAACAGTCAGAGAATCATGACATACTCTTACGTTGTGTCGACTGATCGCCTACAATTTGTAATCAACTTTGTTTCCAATACTCTGCGTTTCGAGTATATTTGTGATTCAGAATGCAAAGTGCAACCAAGCAATGGGATGCGGTTGACAACCTGCTGAAAATAATTAGAAATGGGGAACAGAAACATGCTTTATTGAACCATTTTTCGCAGGCTTTCAAGCCAGTGATGTCTGGTCCAAATATCAGCTAACCAGTGTCACCCAGTGTTCAGGGAGGGAAATATATTTGTTACTTTGAATTCATAAATGTTTTCATTTGGTACCATGCCATACCTTACCAGGACGTTGAGACGTCTCATTTGCTTTGCAGAATATACAGTACAGTCTTGCGATTTTGTAATTTTAGGGGTGAAAAGTGATAATATATTACCCACAAACATTTACAGATTGAGAGAACACATTTTATTTTCAATGAATTGATGCTGCTTGAAAAGCCATCCACCAGTCGACTTACAAATCGTGTTCATATTACTGTTAGGTATATAGAGGCGCAAAGAATGTGGAGCAAAGAATTTAGGCCACTGTTTAATCCCATCCGAGAATCGAACCCAGGTCTTCTTGCTTGCGAGGTAAATACTCTAACCTCCAACGAATGACTACAGGACTTTCGACATGTTCCACTCTAATTTATTAGGATGATCATGTTTTAAGTGCAGCTTGCATTATAAAAGAATAAACAATACTTTTTCATGCGTCTCCAAATGCTTGACCGGTTTTCTCTATATTTAAACAGATATAAAGTCAGTTTTATGCAATGGCGCCCACTGGCGTTTCAGCAGCAAAACAACCATTTGGAGTTTTTGTACGGAGTCGCCATAGCTCGGCAGCAGTGTGGGCCTCTTGGCGCAGTAATACACGGCACTGTCCCTGATCAGGACGTTGGCAATACTCAGTTTGAAATCTTCGCTCGTTTTATCGACATTGGAGGAAAATCGATCTTGGAAGTCAGGGCTCTTATAATCCTTCCCTGCAACAGAGTAAAGTATGTAGACAGGAGCGTTTCTGGAAGCTTGTCTGTACCAGTGAAGATCGGTGGCATCACTGATTTTCTTTAAGGTGCAGGATAATTTCACATCCTTTCCCTCTTCAACTGGTATTTCAGCAATCGTTTGATTCCCAATGTCTTGCAGGCTGTTTCCTGTGATTTAAAAGAAAATATTGTTGAGCAGCAAGTTTGTCTAATATGGAGACTGCAGTGTATTGGTGAGAGCATTCGCCTCAGAAGCACGAGTTATGTGGCTTTGATATCAGGACAGGGGAAAGCTGAGGAAATTTTCCCTACTCCATACGCCTTTGTTTAAGAAGCAGTAAATAGGAACACGTTTACCAGTCGATTGGCGCCTCTCTTGTCCAGAGGTAATTAGCCCTTCAATAATGAATCAATAATGAATCAGATAATAATTTGGTCATGCAATCCATGATTATTTGAAGAAAACTGCTGTGCACAATCGGCTCGAATGAAGGATAAGGCACTATATCAAATGCAATGATTATTAATATTATAATGCGGTAAAAGTTATAACAAGATATTAGAAAAAGAAGGTATACAAAAGATACTAACGGCAAAGTAAGCTGAGAGTGATTGAGAGCACAGCACATGTCTCCCACATGAGCATCCTGATCCCGTGTCTGACATTAACTCCCCAATGTGGACTGATGGGGCTTTTGGGCTCAGTAGCCACACAGTTACATCCCCGCCCACACAGAGCCCCACCCACACAGCCACTGCCACGCCCACAGAGCCACGTCACTCAGTCACTGCCCCGCCCACACAGAGCCCCGCCCACACAGACACTGTCACGCCCACGGAGCTACGTCACTCAGTCACTGCCCCGCCCGCACTGAGCCCGCCCACACAGCCACGGCCACGCCCACAAAGCTACGTCACTCAGTCACTGCCCTGCCCGCACAGAGCCGCATCGCCCAATCACTGCCGCTAATGGACAGCGCCCCGCCCACACAGAGCCCTGCCCACGAAGCCTCTGCCACGTCCACAGAGCTACGTTACTCAGACTCTGCTCCGCCCGCACTGAGCCGCATCGCCCAATCACTGCCGTTGCATCGCAGCGCCCCGCCCACACAGCGCTCCGCCTCCTCCACTCCCCCCACAGAAACACACACAGTGCCACACAATCAAGTCACTCAATCCACAACACTGTATGGGCCAATGTTTTACACAGTTGGCTACCAAGTTTGTCTCCCCCCCATTACAATCTAACGACCCATACAACCCCTCCCCCCCTCCACCCCACACCCCACAATCTCCCACACCCACAGTGCCGCAAAGTAAGGCAACTCAAACCACAACATTTTGTGGGATATTGCTGTACACAATTGGCATCAAACAATATAGTCACTCGACTTTTCAGCGTATTCTTTGAAGAGCTTACAGACATCTCAATGGCATAATATGGCAGTATATCAAGTGCAATCTTTGTTATTATTATCGTTATTATTACAGTGTTGAATAAGACATGCCCTTACGATTGTGTTCATTAACCGGGTTAGAGAAACGCTTTTTTCAAATACAACCTTGTCATTTGGTCAATACGCCACAAAACTCCTCGTTGGTTTTAATGTCGAGTACAGAGACAGCGAGTTTGTCAACTTGGCACCCAATTTGTGCACAACACTGTCCCGCAAACAGCTATGAATGAACGACGAATTTTATAGATGGACGTCTGCCCAGACAGCGGTAGAAACCTGCTTATTTCTCGAGCAGTGCAATGGCATTTTCATAGTCCCTTCAAACAAGCCGCCTGGACCTAGGTTTAATATTAACTCGGTAGGACGAGCTTCACCGACAATAAAGACAGCCAGGCCTGCTCTAGAGTGTCAGCCCAGAACAGAATAAAATAATCCAATACATATTACACAGTGATCTTTTTAGTCGCATTTCAATGTGTCAGTTGCGGGTTGAAATATCAATGTTTTTATCATGTAGTAATACACCTATTAAATAGCTTAATGTTCACGTTTAATGTAGTTGCCTAACCAAACAGTGAGGAGTGAGACGTAAATTTTTTTCACACAGCAAATTGTTCCGATCTTGATCGCGTTGCATGAAAGGGCAACTGAAGCCGTTACGGTTACAACTTTCAAGAGGGAATTGTTATACCATAGATAAAAGTATTTACTAGCAGCTGCTATTTGGGATGAAGGCAACAATATTCAACATGCGGCATAGAAATTGTTTCTTGATCAAACTTAGCATTGTATGAATACTTTAGGCAAATATTTGGAAATTTCAGTTGAAGCAGCAATAGTGTGTGTGAGTAAACTCTGTCAACTGCAACAGGAAGCACTTGTTACCGCTGCAAAGGAAGTTAGTTACAGAAAGCAACGTGACAAGTTATGTAAGTTGCAGCTCATGTTCTATGTGTTTGTTAAATGCGCCATCTGCTGGTGGGTTGTAGCTACAGCACGTTTACAATTGGAGGGTTTTCACAGCATAATTATTTTGGGCTCGTCTTGCCTTTCCTTGGTGTTATGTTCTCCACTGTAAATTGATATATTAGTCACATTTCCTGCTCGTTACTCCTATTTTCTGTTGTTCCCTGGAACCTTCGTGTACAACGTCAGTCACATTCCTTAATTTGACCTTTCTCTGTGCAAAGATTTGCTGCCTCACTTGAGCACCCATTTTATTTCAATTCCTTGCCTTTTTTGTTCTTCGCCAAAACGCTCCACTAAGTGGAAAGCGCTAAATTGTAATACCAAGAGGCCATTCTGCTCCTTGAGCCTTTTCCAACGTTAATTCATATCATGGCTGATCTATCCCTTAGCTCATATTCCCGCCTTTTCCCCCAATCGATCGAAATTCTGACCTAAAATAAACGTATCCAACTCTGTCTGGATAATATGAACGGAACTAACATCCCCAGCCTATTTGTAGAAATTTTCCAGATTTCCTTAAATTTTTCATAATTTTTTTTTCTCATTTTCTCGGCTAACTTGACTGGATAATGCACTCCATAAGAATAAACAGTTTCTCTATAAATAGAGGAAATAGTTTTTGGGGAAACTATATAAATGGAACTTGTTTATTTTGATGTTTTCTTACTGAGTAAAGTGACAGCGTTCCCCAGAGGCAAGACATTTTTACATACTACTTGGATGATAACATGACTACAGTTAATAACAATAATAGCAATAACAGATGCATTTGATATAACGCCGTATCACATCATCGAGACACCACACAGTGCTTCATAGAATATACCGTAAGTGAATTGACTGTATATTGTGAGTGCAAAGCACTGCTACAAATTGTACACATCGCTATCCCAGTGGATGAAGTGCCCAATTTATTATCAACACTAATATTCCGAAGGAATTGTTATCTCAGGAAAATCGAAACGCCAATCTATTAACAACCTGCTTCCTACTTACTGCTGGTAACCAGAGACGTGTGTGTGTGGAATAAGGAAAGTTGCACAATGTTTCGTTCTGCTGGGAATTGAACCAAAGTCTCCCGCTTGTGAGGCGAGTGCTGTAACCATTGAGCTGCAGGACCCCACATGGCAGTTTTTGTAGTGCGGAATCGCTGATCTGTGCCACTGTGGGGCTCAGTGCACAGTAATACCCCGCGGAGTCCGTAACTCTCACTTGCAATATATTTAATGGGACGGTTCTCTCCGCTTTAGACACGTTCGTTGAGAAGCGTTCTTCTGCAAATTCCGCGTGGTCCTTGTTCCTGTTGTTGGTGGATGTGCTGAGGATATATTCCGGAGCTTTGCTGGTTAAGCGACGGTACCAGAACAGATAGTCAAAGCCGTCGCTTGCACCTGTATAATTACACTGCAGAGAAACATCCTCCCCTTCAGTCACTGTCACAATAGATTGGAGCTGTGTTACACCATCTCCTCCACAACGTCCTGGGAGCCAGAAGTAGAATGATAACAGTAATAATAGCTATTCCTATATTTGATACAGAGCATTTTTATGTTGTTAACTTGTCACCAAACATTTCACAGAATGCACTTTCTCTGTGCATTTTGTGTGCGACACGTGTGACCGCATTTTTATTAGTAATTGTTTTTTTAAGGGATTATCAGTCCCGAAATGCAGTCCATCTATCGGCTAAAGAAACGGCACCTACTTACTGCTTGGCAAAGAGTTACATGTGTGTGGAGTAAGGAAACTTGCCTAAAGTTTCACTTTGTCTCAACGGGGAACTGATAACAGTTCCTCTCACTTGCGAGGCCGATTCGCTGTCCAGTAAGGTACAGAACTTTACGGTTCATTTCACCTGTTAGTTATATTTGTGCAATAAAACATATGCATTGGATAATACGGTCAGGAACCAGAATGATAGAGCGAGTTTATCGCTTACCTGACAAGGTAATGATCACTGCTACAACATAGATATACATCGCCGTATGTACTTAACGGCACGGGGCGTTGAGAGAGCGTTGATGGTGTAGTTGGAGAATGGTTCCTGGGAGGTTATAAGATACGGTGAGGAGGGCTGAACAGGAAACAACGTACAGAAGTTAACATATGCTGTGAGGGAGCAGGTCTCAGGGTTATGTACAAACCTTGTGTCTGTGTCATTGTACGTCATCTTCTCTGCTCTGCCATCTCGTTCCTCCATTGGTTCTCTTCCATCACTGACATGTCTTCGTTCAGGCAGGTGTCTGACACCTGCAGCAAGTTACACACATATTTCAGTTCATCCAAAATAATTGCATGAGTTCCACATCTCTGTGCCATCTGTGCGTGTCAATGTTCCTGTGGAAAGCAACTTGCTTTCCTCTTGGAAGGACATATCCAGATTAAATATCTTCGCAGATCCCTAGGCAAAGACCGTCAAGGGTCTTGGGCATGTTTACTTACTCCATACGCCTTATTATATTCCCTCCAAAACAATTTAAAAAATCATTTTCCATCAACGACTGTTTGTGGGACACTGCTGTGCGCAATTGGCTGCTACGTTTCGCCCACAAATATACGGCCAATTCACATTACAGTATAATCTGTGAAGCGCTTTGAGAAGTTTAGAAGACGTGAAAAGCGCTATATCGAATGCAATGATTATTTATTATTATTGGAAGAAACAAGTCTCTGAATCTGATTTAAGTACTTAATATTTTCTTTTATTATTAATATCCAGGATTGGTATGCCATCTGTCTCGTTGCGGGAATAACATAGTGCTCTCTCCAGATGCTGCAATATGTAAACATTTCTGTATATATAATAATAATCCTTGCCTGCGATATAGCACCTAATCATGCATTCGAGATGTGCCGATGAGCTTCACAGTATATAATAATCATAATGATAATCATTCCATTTATTATGTAACCTGATTACGTGATCGAGACGTCTGAAATCGCCTCCCAAATATCATGTAATCTGAATTGGTTCGATGTTTGTTGGGCGCAGTGTGGCGGCAAATTTACCCCGAAGCTAAGAGGCAGAAAGTAAGAGGCAATGAGTGCTGAGCAGTTACTGTGATGAACAAGAGGGGAATTGCCGGCTGATCACTGGAGGTTTGTGTACGGCCTCTCCATGTTATTGTCTCACTGTGTCTCCACTGCACACAAGTAGGTGGCGGCGTCTGTCACTTCAGTGCCTGTGATGCTCAGATTACTGCCCTTCTCTCTATAGTTCATTGTAGCTGTGATCCTCTTATTCTGCTGCTCTCCTGTCTTTCCTGATACCAAGTGTTTGAGGGCCTGTTTCGGATACTGTCTGTACCATTGTAAGACTTGATTCGATACTGTCGTTGAACAGCTGAGAAGCACCTCGTCCTTCTCCCCAACGGTCACAGAGAGTGGCGACTGCGAGACTGCATCCTGACCACTGACACCTGGTAATACAAGAAAATCTGTTTGTGAAACTCACTCGATAATTGTGGTCGAATTAAATACAATTTCTCGCAAAGCGCAAGCGGGGTTTATCGATGAAACATACTCACCCAAGAGGAACACGGCAGCTTTCAGGAGGATGAAGAGTAAAATATATTCGCGATTCATAGCCATCTTTCAACGCTTTAGTGAAGAAATGTAAGTTTCCTTTAAACCTTAGGCAGGTTTCCTTATTCCAAGCCCTTATGTCTGCCGAATAATAGGTAGGAAACCGCTTGTTAGTCGATTTGCGGTTACCGTTCCAGTTGAAATTGTCCCTGAAAAAATATTGTCACTCAATCCACGACTGTTTGAGGATCTCTGCTGTGTCCAATTCGTACTCGAGTTTCGCCCATGAAATACGCAGTCACTAACATTGCAGTATTGTCTGTCAAGCGATTTGTGCTGTCTCGTTGACTTGATAGGCGCTGTATCAAATGGAAAGAATTATTATCAGATAGATAGTCAAAAAGAAGGTTGGACGAGGTATTCAATGGAGGCCGCTGAGTGTGTGTAGACGACTCGTGAATGGCCTCATGTGTGTTGGTTTCACATCCCCGGGGGCACATTGTCAATTTGGTAACGAGCCATTGAGAGGGTTCAAAACGAAAAGGGAGGATCCACGTGAAGTCAGCAGTTTCTCAGATGTCTCTGCCCCAGTTTGTTGAAAGATTCCTTCCCGCCCCTTTCCGGTCTCTGTTTCCGTATTACAGCCATTTGGGTAAAAAACAGGTTGGTTTGTATGTTCAAAGCGTTTTCTGGCCTAACTCACAGCTTCATGTCATTGCACTGTACTGTGTAGTTCGCAGAATCAGACTTCATAATTTACCATTTATTTTCGTTAACTGGGAATCTGTCACATGTGGAAACCCATCATCATGATTATGGTTGTTCAAATCCAGATCAAGCGGAAAAATATCGGGTTAATCGTTCCATTTGATACAACATCTAAACGCATCTTTTAGACGGCCGAAAGTGCCTCGAAGAATATAATGTTAAGTAATAAAAGGACGATTTGAGAGTGGGAGACAGGATTTGTCCTTAAATTGTCCTAAGAAACCTCTCTCTCACCCAACAGACCCCAGTTCTGACGAAGAGTCGGTGACCGGAATCGTTGACTCACTTTAGTTTCTCAATAGATGGTGTCTAACCTGATGAGTATCTCCAGCTCTCCCTGGTTTTGTTTCAGATTCCAGCATCTGCAGTATTTTGTGTTTCGATAATGTAAAGTAAATTGACAGTATGATTTGCGGATAAATTACGCAGCCAATTTTGCACAGCAATGCCCCAAATATCTAGTTGTGAAATATGCTTTAATGATTGTTATTAAATAAATTTTTGGGGTATTGCCAAAATTTCATACTTATAGTTCGACAAACAGCGGCGAGAGTGTAAATAAAGGAAGCTTGGGAAGGATTTAGCGCTCTCATGACCGTTAATGAAACTCAGGTCCTCTCGTTTGCAAGGCGAGTGTTATAACCACAATATTACAGGACACCAAAGCCCTGCATGCGTGACACGAACAGGCCGTCATCAACAAGGAAATTGAGGTAAACTTAGTGCGGTGAGTGCTGAGCAGTTATTGTGATGAACAAGAGGGGAATTGCTGACTGATCACTGGTGGTTTATGTACGGCCTCTCTATGTGATTGTGTCACTGTGTCTCCACTGCACACAAGTAGGTGGCGGCGTCTGTCACTTCTGTGCCTGTGATGGTCAGATTACTGCTGCTGTCTCTATAGTTCATTGTAGCTGTGATCCTCTCCTTCTGCTGCTCTCCTGTCTTTCCTGTTACCAGGTGTTTGAGAGCCTGGTTCGGATACTGTCTGTACCATTGTAAAGCTTGAGTTGTTCCTTTTGCGGAACAATTGATAAGCACGTTTTCCTTCTCCCCAACAGTCACAGAGAGTGGCGTCTGGTAGACATCTTCCTGACCACTGACTCCTGGTAAACGAAAGAAAATCAGTTAATGAAACTCACTCGTTAATTGTGGTCGAATTAAATACAATTTCTCGGAAAGCGCAAGCGGGGTTCATCTGTGAAACATACTCACCCCATAGGAACACGGCAGCTTTCAGGAGGATGAAGAGTAAAGTGTATTCGCGCTTCATAGCCAATCTTTCAGCGCTTTAATGAAGAAACTAAAATTGCCTTTAAAACCGTAGGCAGTTTTCCTTATTCCACGCGTCTCTCTTTAATCGACAGTAAACAGGAACCCGACTGCGAGTCGATCTGCGGATCGCTTTACAGGGCTATTGATCCCTCAAAAAGATTGTCACTCAATCCACGACTCTTCGAGATACTCTGCGGTGCACGGTTCGTTCTCGAGTTTCGCCGCCCAACCAATACACGCTCAAAAGACTTGAGAGGATATTCCATGAATCGATTTGAGACGCCTCAGGGACGAGATAAGGCACTTTATCAACGGTCAAAGATTATTATGGCATAGACAGTCAACAGAATGCAGGACGAGTTGTTCAGTGGAAGCCCCTGAGTATGTGCAGACGGCTGGAAATGGCCTAATGTGTGTTGGCTTCACATCCCCGGGGGAGGTTTCAATTTGGTAACGAGGTGAAACGAGCCATTGAGAGGGTTCAAAGCGAAATGGTAGGAGTCATGTGACGTCAGCAGTTTCTCAGATGTCTCTGCCCCAATTAGTTGAAAGTTTCGTTCCCTCCTCTTTCCTTTCTACACTTCTGGATTACACGAGTTTGGGTACAAAACACACGTTTTCAAGCATGACTCATTTCTACGAGCTTCTGGGTTGTACGATTGGTTTCGCTGAATGACGCTTCATATATTAACATTTATTTTTGTTACCCTGGTGTCTGACACATATGGAAACCAATCACCATGCCTATGGTTGTCCAAATCAACGTGTGAGTTATAATCAACCTTGCGTTCGATACAACGCCTTATCACTTTTCCGAGTTATCTCTCTATACGGCCTTCAGGTGATACACGGTTAAGTGTATCGACAGTGTATTTTGTGGGGAAAATGCCAATTGCGCCAAAACAGCGTCTGACAAACAGTCGCTGATCGAGCGACCAATTTTTTTAATGGTATATTACCACCGAAAAAGCGCTCCTCCAATCTATTGATAACCGGGTTCCTAGTTACGGCTCAGCAAACCAATAAAGTGAATAATAATAATCCTTCCATTTGACATAACGCATTATCACTTCTTCGAGACGTTACATAGTATTTCACAGACTTTACTGTGAAGTGAAATGACTGTACATGTTATGGACTAAATGCGGCAGCCAGTTGCGCAACGCAGTGTCACACAAACAGTTGTGCGTTGAGATAAAGAACTGTTTATCATTATTACAATTATATCATTATTGTAAAGGAATTATTATCCAGAGAAAGACGCTCCGCCAATCAACTAAAACCTACGTATTGCTAGGTAATCAGACGCCTAATAATAATAATAATCCTTGCATTTGATATCGCGCTTTTCAAGTCGGGAGGACGACCCACAGCGCTTCACAGAACACACTGTAAAGTGAATTGACTGTATATTTGTGGGCGAACGCGGCAGCCAATTGCGCACAGCAATGTCCCACAAACAGTCGTAGATTAAAAATGACCGATTTATTATTGTTTTTGTTTTTTGGAGGGATTAATATTAGACGTGTGGAGTAAGGAAACTTGCCCAAGGTTTCGCCATGACCTGCCTGGGAATGAACTCTGGTCTCTCGCTTGCAAAGCGAGTGCTCTCACCACTGAGCTACAGGATTCCGCATAAGGAGTAAGGAAACATGTCCAATGTTTTGCCCTGCCGGGAATCAACCCACGTCTCTCGTTTGCGAGGCGAGTGCTCTAAACTTTGAGCTCCAGTAACCTCAGCATGTTTTTGTACAGGTCCCTCTTAGACACACAGCACTGTGCTGTCCGCACAGAAGTAAGTGGCGGTGTCTGACACTCGCACGTCTTGGATTGTTAGAGTGCAGCTTCTCTGTTTTGTATTAACCAAAGCTCTTATCCTGTCCTTCACTGTTATGTCTCTTTTTCCCAAAACCAAGAACCGGATGGAGCCGTTTCCATACTGTGTGTACCACTGAAAGGTTGGGCCCGACTCAGTGGTGGTGCACTCCATAGATGCGTTTCCATTTTCATGCTGTTTCACGGTCTGGGGTCTCTGTGATACATCGCTTTCAGCCAAAGCATCTGTGCAGATAATAATAATAATAGTAATTTTTATTATTATTAGAGAGAGAGAGACTGAGCGAGAGAAAGACTGAAAGAAGGAAACAGAAAGACTGAGAGTGAACATATTATTAAATGTCGTGACTTCGTGATTTGATGGAGAGACTGAGAGAGTGACTAAGACAGACAGAAAGAATGAGGAGGAAAATATGTTATAGAAGGTAGGGACGCTGTTTTTTTGAAGTATAGACTGAAAGGGATACTGAGAGAAAAACAGAAAGAGTAACAGGGCGAGAGAGAGAGCAACGGAGAGAGATGGAGAGAGAGAAGAGAGGGGGAGACTGAATCATATCGAGACTGAGGGTAACTGAAAGAGAAAGACTGAGAGAGAGAGGTAAAAACTGTGAAAGAGAGAAAGATTGAGATTGACGGAGAGACACTGAGATAAAGACAGAGTGAGTGAGAGTGAGTGATTCCCTACTTACATAAGAATAATATCATTATACTCAAAATAATAAATGTTGCCTTGAAATTTTGCTTCATTCTTAACTCTCACGCAAAATTCTTTAGTAAAATGCAATGGCTAATCAGCTAAAGGCAGATAAACGTTTAGAAACGTTTGTCGAGCGACGTTAGCTGTGTCGCTTATGATTATATTCTCGGTGACGCCTTCACTAACTGCTCACTTCCTGTATATCTGGTTGTGCAAAATTCATTCACGAATCGACTAACACCAGGACTCCGGTTTACTGAGAAGTAAACAGAGGCGATTGTGTTGATGAGAAAACAATCCCAAAATTGCTCTCTGCTCGAAAAGTGAACACACGTCCTCTCCCCTATAACGCTGCAGTCTCCCTCTCTCTCTCTCTCTCGCTGTATCTCAGACGCTATTTCTCTATCACTATGTCTTTCTCACTCAGTTCATCGCTCTTTATTTCTATCTCATCCTCTCTCTCTCTCTCTCTCTCCCCCTCTCTCTCTTT